TTAATAGGTGATCATTGAAGGCAAATAAAATTCTGGGTTGCGACAATATTTTAACAGATAGCCTCTGAATTAGTAGTCAGGCGGTATAGGAGATATGAGGTATACTACCCTAACGTTAACCTAGTTATCGTTCCACTACAATCACTGTGGTTAGCGCCTAGGTATTGTGTGATTGACTGATACATTACTGTCTGTCAGGATTTTGTTGATCAAAGACTATCTCATATAATCTCCACATGAAAATTATGCATTAAATGTTAATAAACTGTGCTGAGACTTCTCACAGATAATAGAAGGTGAGGATGAAGATAATATTTCATGAGGCAGAATTCAGCTAAGATTGAAATTTAGGAATTTTGATTTAAAAGTTCTGTCAAATAGTAAATCATAGTGCTAAGAGATTTTATGTAAAGTTGATGATTGGATGACTGCATTCAACTGACAGGAAGGAGTATTAGAATGAGGTTTCGCGCCTTCTTAGCACTCACTAGTCAGTAAGGCATATCTGTGATCTTAACGGAACTCATATCCCTTCTGAGACTCAAACCCGTATCATCCAGTGCAGCAGTCAATGACGTTACTATGAAGCTATACGGGCTCGAGATTGACTTCCTATAGGAATTCATTGGATGCATTTCTTGGACACTAGACAGTGACAAGTGTAATGCTTCAAGTTCCATTCAGGAACTCTTTAGCAGTACGCCTTCATGACTCTACCGAAGGTTCAGCCCAGTACTTTCAGATGACGAAACGAGCTCATAACCGCGGTTGAAACAGTAAACAGCTGTATCACTTTAATCATGCTTGAAAAAGAGCATAGAATAAATCAAGTGAAACCTATATTCCAGGTACTCCTCATTATTTGTATTTCTAATTTTACTCCATATCTGTAATTAAATGACAAATTGTTTTACTGATAAAGAGACTTCCGTGAAAAAAATTACTTTATGTTTCCTAAAATATGTACACACTATACTAAAGTTATTATTATTTGGCGAGGAAGGAAAACAGACGAATTCAGCATGAAGACTTGCTTCATTCCAAAAAACTGCAGATAGATCAAATCAGAATTTATAATAAAAATTTAGGTTTTTAACTTTAATAATTAAATTCTTTAACTATTCGTTAATATACTTTAGATTTTCCCGTCGATTGATTGCACCGAAGTGCTCGGTCTCAGGTTAACATGTTACCTCCTTGTGCAAATGCTTTGACGATGCGTGATCATGTAACTTGAAGTCAATTGGTGGATGGTGACTAGCAGTGAAATCGCGAATGCGTGTTTCGTCCTATTTGGGACTCATCGTCTGAATACGGCCTTGGATGGCCCACGTGGTCTAGTGGATAACGTTTGGCGTTTGAGCACTGGGTTCAAGCCTCGGTGAGAGCACTATCACTCACTGAGAAATGCAAGTGCATTCAGATGAGGAGCTCCGAAGAGAACGAAATGTGAATCCTGGAATTCACTACTAGTCACCATCAACAAACTGACGTAACCAATCTGTTTAGCAGCGGACTATTACGCATACAGTGATCAAGACACTGTAAAACATGGTTTCCATATGAATTCATTTATTATTGTAAATTTAGTTCCATAAGACTGGAAAGTCTACATGACTACATGACTAGTCGAACACCACTTACATCAACCAGTAGAGCCTACCAACCAGATGGTAGTGATCTAAGCACCGGATGACCGTTTCACTCGTTCAATTTCGTCAGTGTTGGGTATGAATTGATTTCTGTGAAACAGTCATATCTGTTCAGTTCACTAGAATTTCGTCTACCTATATTTTCAAGTAAAAAATTTTAATTCGAAGTCTGTTTTATATTATAAGTCTGAAATATGTTACTTGTAATTAATAAAAAATATCAAACTTTGTCTGACTCTAATATCATAGGCTGAATTGTTACTGAAGAGTATATTAGCTTAAATATTTCCTAAACTTATATTTTGAGATATTTCTCATAATTATAGGCGACTACCGTTCGCTGATTTGAGACTTTGAAGGAATTTCAACAGTTACTGCTCTAACTCTTCGAAGACCTTAAATTAAGCATTCCCCGAGAACAGAAGTGAGACATTGGAAAATAAATTTCAGTAGGATGAGAGCCTTTTTTCATCACAAAAGATCCTTTCTAAGTTTAATAAATACTGTAGGTTTTCCGTTTGTTTATTTCTTCTCCTTCCCGTGAATTATATATGCTGTGGCTTACGTGAATTACTGAGCTACTTAGTCGTGACATCCAATATTTCACATTGAGTTTACTCTATTGCATATTGTCCCAACCATCCACTGATAACTCTATTGTATGAGTTTGTACACATGAGTATCTTTGAACGATCTTCAAGTCATTTCTAGGTATTTTCTGATGAATGTATTAAGAAAGCTTAGTTGAAATTTGAAGGCTATCTCAGATGAAAAAATATTACAACAAATAAAGTAACATCTGCTAAGTAATGATCACTCTATCTCTACAGCCTCCGCCTTTAAAGTCATCTAAAAGGAGAAAAGCAATTTGCCCAAATCACTACGTTTCCGACTCATCTGCATTGCTGAAGCTTTGGCTATGGAAACAGAAAAGCCAGATCTCTGTATACAGAAAAAGTTCGTTCAACCCCTCCAACTTTCACATTCCTAAACCGTTTATTGCTAAAGTATAAGAACCGCCATTCATATTTTGGCTCTACTTATTTTGCGTTTTGTCTATTCAATTTGTATACTCTTCCTTTATTATGTCAATTCTTACTATCACTATTCCCACTACAAACTGCTACCGGTATTAATTTACTTGTTCCTCTTGTCATTCTAAATCAATTTCGTTTTGCAACATTAAATTCTATGTTATCAGATTTCATACAATGTTAATTAACGTTTTTATTTTATTCTGTTCGCCCACTAATCCTATAATTGCACACCCTTTCCAAGTTCTGTCCATCCTATGAATTATTCTATATATGACATTAATTTGCTTTGCCACTTGACATTTAACTATGATTATAATCACAAATATTTTAATTGCATTTTATACATGCATTTACACTTATGATTCAATTCCCTGGCCTGATATTATTTCTTAAAAATCATAAATATACGACTGTACAGCTTGATAATAAAGTCGCTGAAAAGGAGCCTCTTCGCTGAATCACTTGTTCTGATTTTTTAAATGAAGTACTCTATACTATTATATTGTCTTAAGCTTTTACTGTCCACCTAGGCGACAGGATGTCGTCTAAAAGGACGGTGAACTCTTCGCAGTTATACTTTTCAACTCACAAGACTCAATCAGCACAAAAAGCATCGAGTGGTGCTACAAATATCATGGATTAACATTATTTTACTCAGAGAATCCACAAAAGGAGTAGGTGTTTTGCAGTAAAACACTCTGAGAATTGACTACTGTCTATAAACATGGTGTCCAGAATTAACTTTCTGTTAATATCTTCTTAAATGTGTTGTGGTTAGTATGTTGAGGTGTAGATGGATATTAAGAAAAGACATCGACAGGTATTACAATGTTTTCTTCTTTTAAAGGATTCCTTCATCCGGACAGTACACATACGACTATCAACTGCGATCTAATCAAGTAGGAATTTTTCCGCCCTGGCTTCAATGCTATCCCTGCATACGCAATCCCTTACAAACCAACCAAACAATCTCCTGACACCTGTAAAGTGAACTTCTTAGATTCATCCTGTTGGTCAAGGGAGATTAAGTAAATAACCATACTTGAGACTTGTACGCATACCTCTGAAACACAACATACATCCATGACTCTGAATGGAAAGGTTCTTGATAACGAAGCATTCTATCTGACTTCAAATGCTCCAATATAAAATTCGGAGCATGGTTTTAAGAGACTATCAGTGGTGTTTATTTTCGGCTCTCGTCACTACCAGTGGTCGTAGAATCAGGCGGAGATGACAGAATTGTCTGTGGGACAGTATTAATATCAGGAAGAAAACGAAGTGATGAAAGTGATGGAGGTGAGGTTTGATGATTGTTGAGAAAGCTTTGTGTGCTTATGGAAGCGTAGGGTGTCCACACTATAGAAGTTTATTTCTTCTTGAGGCATATAATACTGAAGGAGTATCTGTGTTGCACAGCCTTAGAGCCCAAGGGACAACCATTTGAGACTGATCACATGCGACCTTCTCAAAGTTATTTTCGAACTTGTATCCATGATAAAGACTTACCACCGCAAGGTGGGTACGGCAGACAATTTTCTGAGTGAATATTTTTCACCCCCCCCACAGCGGAAAGGTAGGATAGCCAGTTTGCTGGTTGCCAAAAAGAAGCGTCTTACCTTTGGTACATCTCCAGTGACCAACAGTACAACTTCGCTAACAGACGCCAACATAGTGTAAGTGACTTAAGCTGTGATGGCCAGTGCTTTTAGTTTAAACACTATCCAGCCAATCTTTCTGGTATAGGGGCACCTAGAAGAACATTCATTCCAACCAGTGCAGCTCGTCGGGTCATTGATGTATGTAAACTTGACCACCATCTCAAGGTAACGGCTATCAACTGAGGCAGTATTGTGAAGCGAATGATGAATAGCTTAATTCAAAAATATATATGTTCACAGTGACATATACGATGGTTGAAGGTAAGATTAAATATACACCGGGGCAGATTTCAGATAACCATTCAAAAATTCAATTTGTATCGATCAGTTTGTTTATTCCTTTGTATGTGACATTAACCCAACCTTTTAAGTGTTTATTAAGTGTTTTCTTCTAACTTCTTTTAAAGTCTAACAAGTCGACGAAACCAATTGAGGAATTATTAAAGGAATCGAAATGCTTCAGTTTCTTGGCAGGATAGGTCGAATTTATCAAATAAGATTCATTATTGCCAACTTTGACTGCCGTGGCTCCCGACTGTCTGGCTATCAAACCATCTTTCTTTCTTACTAAAATGTATCTCTCATGAAACAAGTTAAAACATAAACCAATAACAAAAGTATAATCAGTACAAATAAAAACCCATACATTCAAGTGATTCATTTGAATATAAATGTATTTTATGTATTATTATTAACAAACAGAAGAATTTCTTTTGTGGTTCATTAATCCTTATTCATTAGATGTAAGTTCTTCTCTTCTACCTCCTTCTGTATCACTGCCAAAGTTATCACTAGTTATCTCATTATCCTCGTAGTCGCTGTAGCTTTCACTACTCGTGATATACAATCCACCGACTTTGCTTCCTCTTAGCTTATACTTTCGATGTTTTTTAATCTGTCTTCTCATCATACAGTATTCAATGTAATGTTGATATACTGAGCTAACTGAACCATAGCAAAGTAATATCCATATTATTATCAGGATAGCACAGACTACGGCACCACAAGCTAAACTCACAGAGATGACATTTTGTTGTTTCTCAAAATAAACGTCAAGATATGATATACCTAATTCTAAAATTTGCAACAAAAAACAGAGATATAGGTTTAGCGAAAGAATATCAACTTACTAAACAGAATATTTAAACAATAGTTTTTATTGAATTTTAGATTTTCCCGTCGACTGATTGGACCGAAGTGCTCGGTCTCAGGTTGACATGTCGGCTTCTTGTGCAGATGCTTCGACGATGTCTCACTATTTAATTGGTGTACAATTGGTGGATGGTGACTAGCAGTGGAATCCAGGATGTGCATTTCATCTTACCTGGGACTCGTCATCTGGATGTACCTGCATTTCTCAGTGAGTGATGATGTTCTCACCGAGGCTCGAACCCAATTGACGGGAAAATCTCAAATTCAATAAAATTAATATTACCCGTTGCACAAAAGGTGGTGGCTCTCGTGGCCCAAGTGGTCTAGTGGATAATGCTTTGGCGTTTGAAACTATGAGTACTGGGTTCGAGCCTCGGTGGGAACATCATCACTCAGTGAGAAATGCATATACATCCAGATGACGAGTCCCAAATAGGACGAAATGCGCATCCTGGATTTCACTCATAGTCACCATCCACCAATCAAATTTAAACAATAGGACAAAACAACTTCTTTTTAAACTAAATGACTACTTCACAGGTGATTTGAAATCGAAATTGCTTGTGTCAGCTATTACCACAATAAGGTTATTTACCCAAAAATATGTCTCTATTAGGACGAATTTTTATTCACCATCTTAATCACTTAGGTTAAAGAAAGCTACAGTTAACTGTTTACTCAAGGCATAGTCATTCATGATTCACCACTCCTAGGTAAAAGAGGAAGGCACGATCTCTTATTTTGTCAAAGTTCTGACTGCTTTTCTCTCGATCACTAATATTTACTCAAAAACTTCCTTTATTTCTTCAGTTTTTAGCGTTTGAGAATTAAAACTTGATATACTTCGTTTAGAACAACAGACAGCAAAATATGAACCTAGGTTTTGAACTTGTTGACAGTCTCCTGTAAACAGTATGCGAAACCTCAAATGAAATGAAATTCTCCCAGAGATCCAGTAGTGGGCCGCTTAATGTTGACGTCACCTTTAGGCTATTCATGTCGAGGTTGACCTTTTATAAGACTGTGAGGGATACATTGATCGCTCTAGTGTCAAAGGTAGATCCCATTTTTTCTATCAAGTTTGAAATGTGGTCACCAAAGCTAGAAGATTCACTACAGTGATGTGTTTTAATGAATATTGATGTTGAATTACACGTCAAATCTGAAACAGTATCAAAACTTCATAGGGTTTTAAATATTCCTAATTAATTTCATCACGTAATCTTATTCTCTATGTTGCCATAATAACAACATTAAAGTGGATTATTCGATTGTCAAAAAACCGCCTGAATATATACTTCTAATTGAAAAACAAGTAGATAAAAACAATTCATAGTAGGTGGTAGTGCTTACTAGTGAAACCAAAGTGGTTCTTATATCAATTGATCTGACAGCCAATCTCATCAGTACTGACATTACAGGGATTCAGCTTAAAGAGCTAAATAACTCCTAACACCATCATAACTAATCACTTACTTGTATTAACTTATCAAGTGTACTAGAAAGTGTAATTCCTTATAAATCAGTCTTTACACCACTAAAATCTTCTCCTTGTTTGTTGTGAAACGAAAAATCTTTAAATGGATGAATATGAGCTGATGAAATATTTAAGCGACAGCATCATTTAAAGTTTATTCCTTTGTGTTACCAATTCCGTAATTTATCGTTTATAAGTGGACATTTTCATTTGTTTGAATTATTTCCTTTCTTATTTTCTTTTTGACTGATTTTTATTGTGCAAGCATGTTCCACTCAGAACACAAGGAATGAAATGTCCAACTAATACTGACATTTCACCTTCTGTCACGAACATTTTCCACGACGTCTGAAGGTTAATATCATGTTATTCGGTTGGTGGTGGCTACCAGTGGAGTCCAGAAGGTGGATTTCCTCTTCATGAGTTAAATGTAACTGCATCACCAATAAACAGTGTTATCCACACTGGGACTCTCATGTAGCACTCATCGCTTCAATCAACTGGAAATATAGAATAAGTCAAGCAGAAAAGAAAAAACACCTGATAACCATGTTATGACTTGTTATGACCGGGACTGCGACCTATTAGACTAGGAGGGAATACTGACTTAATGCGCTGTCTAATCCGTCCTAATCGCAAGTCATCAATAACAGTAACACCAGCGGGCTGCAAAGACAGAAGAGAAGACTGGACGTTGATTAGAGAGGTTTTACTGTCTGGAAAAACACTCAAAGAAAGGATCACACAGCTTATATATATATATGCTTAAGATGACCTTGAGAAGCACTAATGTCGTTGACAAGTTAAGATAGCGGAAAACCAATAGGATTTCGAAGGTGTTAAGCAGTGTGAGAGGAACTTTGGCCATAAATCAATAAGTGACGTGAGAGTAATATAAACATACGCTTAAAATGACATGTATAGAATTAGGCCTATATATCAGTACTGTGCTCTAATCACCTAGTGAATAATCCTAAGGGGTTTGAAACGATGCGTGCTGCGTGACAGTCTCAAGAAAGAGGAGATGTACGCCCTAGATTCCACTAGTATCCACCATCAATCAAATAATATAAATTAAAAAATTTTCCAAGTCATACTGTGGTGAGAGCTGACTGCTAGCCAAATTGGTAGACAGTAATTTACGTCAGTGTTTACGTCCCTAATATTGGTCATGAAAAAAATAAGAACAAAGACTGATTCATCAACAATCACTCACAGCAGACTTTGCATACGCGGATACAACTAGCAGATAGATAATCTGAAGTTCAATAAACGGCCGCAAAAAGATGAAAGATTAACGTTCAGCGAGAAACCACCATTTTGAAGACTGTGTTTGTTTGCTTACAATAATATATAATAATTTACATGAAAATCTAAAAAATATCTGTTGATTTCATAAATAAACGATCTGTTACCTGGCCCTTGTCTTCTGTTGTTACAATATAACTATTTGCTTAAAAAGAATGAATCATTCTAAAATAATTACTTACGATTACATGGATGTTCTGAACATTTAAAAAATTCTACAGGAGAACCTAAACATTGTTTTGATTCATTTCCTAGCTTCATTGATAAACATTCTCTTTCACGTACACTATAACGTAGATGACCACAAGCTGGTCTACATTTATCCCATATTGACCATTCAGACCATTCACCAACCCATTCATCACATGAACTCCCTGTATAACCATGATCACATATACATGTTGCCTGTTCAAATGAAATGAATAAAATTTTAAAAAAAAGAAATAGATGAACTGATCTATAGCTACTTTCGTTCAGACCTAACAAAAATAAAGAAGCGGAAATAAGTGATAAATACAAATAATCTCCCTCCGTTTGTTGTTATTAGCTTATGTTAGTTTACATTTGAATCTAGAAGCTGACAAAAATTCTGTTCGATGCAGTTCAAGTAAATAAACAATAAGAAAACACAAGTACACTTATTTGTTTGATTGTGACTGGGAGTGGAATCCATAACAAACATTTCGTCCTGTTTACAAAGAAATCGAAATCTCGTCAGTTAGACTTACATGCTTTTCACAAAGTGATGAAGTTGCCACGGAAACTCGAATCTAGCACACACACCATTTCAAATGCCATTGTCAGCTGTTGTGCAACGGGTATGATTTGAAATTATCTAATCATACTTATAATTTGCCACCTATATATCTAAGTTGAACTGATCAGATTCACTTTGTCATATGGGAGTTTGAACCAAAGAATGTAGGTCTCAAGGCTCCCTGAGAACACTATCACTTAATGGACAGTAGGTGTGGATTAGGTTGGATCTGTCTGTATAAATCAAATCTCAAAATTTCAATCTATTGCTCACTAGTAAATAGAATGGTAATAAATTTCTTGAGGTTCTGGGTGGAAAACTGTGAGGTTGACGAGAGGAGAACACCTGTGACGTTGGATAGTAGCGATTCTATTTGGCGAATAAACTCACTTCGTAAGTTATGGAATATTGGTTTTCAACTCTTTTACAAAATTCTCACAAACCATTATCTCACCTTCCAGAGGACTGTATTATGAAGCCAACTTAAAAAGTAATGCATTTTAAAACTTTATTGGCCGTATTGTTTTAGAGAATTCGTTTTGCATATTCTACAATGCATTATCTGAATTCTTTACATTTCCAGAACAATCCATCCTCACAACACTCACTCAAAGGTGTATAGACAGACACAGATACTTTATAGAAAATGGCTAATGTATATTCAAACCTTCTGTCCGGAAACAAAAATCTAAATACTAGGCAGGCAAAGTTAATGTAGATTTATTTATGGTGTCCAGAAACATGTTCACGATTTCTCCCCCTAGTGTTTGACTTCATATCCATCGCCCTAACAAGCTTTCACCAATACTAAAAGGCTACATCATTCCCTGTCGTTTAAATCATATTGCTAAACTATTCACAACCACTTAATTGACTGCTACCTTCTATTAGTCACATAAATTGTTTATTTAATTTCCAAGTATTTGTTTTGTAGGAATTTTGTTTGATCGGTTCGAGGATTTCATCATGGGCTGATATAAGTTAAGGGACCATTGGAAAACCTGGAAGTACTGAACAGCTGTTTCGTCCTAGTTTGGAACTCTTCAACAGTACCCACCCACCGTCAAGGTTGGAACATACAGCCTTCAGGTTACAAGGCTAGTGAGCTCGTGGACCATTAAGCCAATGGGAACCGATCCAATGACCAGTCTATGAATTCCAACTTCTGCCAGTTCATGACATAGCACGACCACTTCCTTTCGCGTTCCAAGTGGAATACAGGGCTTGAAGCTTCAGCTTTTTAGTTGCAGTAGCAGTGGTGTTTTTACGAGATAGGATTGCTAACCCCACGCCCAACCTTCTCTTTTCGTCTAGGTGAGGGAATCGAACCCCTGAGCACACGCGCGGTTGATGAGTCATGTAAATTGGTCGGACTGAAATCTTTTCTTTGAATGAATAATTAAATCCATAAAACTATACTAGATCTTACAATGCACACATTTTTAAATAGTGAAATTAATATTTTTGTTTTGGATTTAATTCATAAAACCACATGTCCACTTACTTTTTTAATCTGTGATCTATTTTTCATATATCTTGTCTTCAGTTATCTCCTTAACTTTCAAAGTGTGTAGGACATGATTGTTTCCAGATTACTATTTATAACTTTTTATTTATTTAATCTCCGTTTTTCATTTCTTTCATTCTTGTTATTATGATACTTCCAATATTATTCATCAGCTCTCCATGTTCTCCTACTAAATATAAGATGACATTAAGTGATGACGACTGTATTCTCATGGATGGATGTCTGTCTTTTACCGGTATGCCTTTGTGGATGCATTTATTGTCTTCGTGAAAAAGATCCTAATTTATTATGCATCATTATATTTTATTCTAAAATCTTAATGTCACTCAAGAATGAATGTTAGTCTGTGCTGACAAGTGTTATGTATAGATTTAATATGTTTCTTAAGAATATCACCCTGAAAATAAACTTGCTGCAAGTCAAACAGAATGTTGGGCTGTTAACTGGTTACAGTCCTATTTCCCAGAAAGAAGGCAGTGCACTGTGTACAAAGGGATTTCTTCCACTTTATTGCCTACTGAAGCTGGTGTGCCTCAAGGCACTGTCCTTTTCCTTTTTCTTTCTTCTTACATGACTTGCCTCATTCTGATGCAATAAACTTTGTGAAGTACGCTGATGATTTCACGGTTTCAATGGCTATTAACTCCGAGCTAGATTTTACCAAAATAAATAGCTTTCTGTCGGGAGTCAGTAAATGATCTGAGTCTAACGGTCTTAAACTGAATCCTTCTAAATGTCAAACTGTTAATTCCAGCTTAAGATGTAAAAGAGAGTTGAAAGAAGTCATCGATTCTCATGACAGTTGTAGGATTGACGACAATGATATAGGAATCAAATCAGAAATTAAGTATCTTGGATTTATCCTCCCTTCTGATCTCTCCTGGTCTTTCCATGTCTTAGCGATCTCCAGTAAAATATTCCGCCTGACATTTTACATTAAGAAGTTAAGACACTCGGGTATAACTCAACCCCTCCTCTTACAGTTCATAAACTCTTGCATCCTACCTATTCTTCTTTATTGTTCACCCTTGCTTATTCTTTCCTGGTTTGCTTAAAAAAGACTACGTCACAATTCGTAGAATGCTGAAGACTGTCAGTAGGGTGAGTGATGTTCCACTGGACCACATAGTTAATGTCATTGTCGATAGGCACTTGACTTCGTGCAATAAATTTGCTAAAGTGATTTTGTATGACTTGGAGCATCCGCTTCATGCTGAGCTTTCACCTTGCGTCTCCTCAGGTAGAACAAGGAGTATCTTCAGAAAACTGCATGCTCGCACGTCTAAGTATAGAAATTCTATGATACCATACTTGGCACGTATTTTATGTGATGAAAATAGTGTCAGGCAAGAATTAACTAACTTTTTTTCATCTAGTAAATAAACAGTTTCCTCCATCCATCCTTATATACTTTCAAGTTTTACTTTTATTATTTCTATTATATTTATGGTCCTGTTGCTTCTTTGTTTTACTCTTATAATTGCAAACACCAACTTATCTCTATGACGGCTGTAATCTTTGTTTTTCCCCTCACCATATCACGTAAAGAAAACATAACATTCAATATTTTTAAACATGCTAGGATTTCTATACCGAATTGACAATACTGTGTGAACAAGCCCACGGCAATTTTCACTTGTATTATCATTATTACCTTAGCTCTTATCATTAATGTTATTTCCATTTTATATGCTACATGTTTTTGACATTAACCCTATTGTAAGCGTGAAAAATTTTCTGTGATTAATTTTATTTATAATTTGAGGAAATTAGATGCAATATTGTGATTAATGCTGAAAATTCTATTCTGTATTACAAGTACTGTTTTTGGAATAAAGTAAATCAAAATAATAATAATGATTATTATCTTACTTAATGTTTGCGAGTGGACAGTACTATTAAAACTTACCTAATTCTTTATTTAAAGAAAAGAGATAATTATACGTGTAGTGAGCTTTAACTAACTTCTATAGTAGTTGAAATATCCTTTTTATCGAAACTGAAGCATAACAATTAACTGAAACAGAGGAGAATCGATTGCCAGATTGAAACCAGTATCTCTTTCTAGTAATAAATACGTTTACTGATATATATCATTCGGTGATACAGTGTAATCATTAGACTTAGTGAAACAACTGTCTTGCATACTACGGTGCACTGTAATAACATTATAGTGTGAAGTGAGAATTCGTGACCAGCGGTGTCCAGCAGGTCGGATGTGACGACAAATACTCTCCGATGACATTGCCCGGCGGTCGTGCAAAAACCACGGATTAATAGAAGTTAGAATTAGTGGGCTATTAGACCGGGTCCCAATAGCTTGATGGTCCACGAGCTTGACTTGTAGCCGGACGGCCCTGGGTTCGAGCACCGTTGGGTACTAACTGTTCAGTGGTCTCGAACTAGGATGAAACAACTGTTTAGTACTTCCCTGTTTTCAGTAGTTCTCTCACTGACATCAGTATGTGATCAGACTTGACACAAATCAAATCCCTACAAATAACTGTTGAAGAAGGTTATAGTAATAATATTTCATTCGAAAAGGCAGGATGTTTAGTGACCAAGATTATTGCTTTTTGATATTGTTTGGTAAGATGATCCTGAGCTCATGAATTTTACAGTTATACAATTAACAGTTAATCCATCTAAATGAAGGATGATTATGTGTTAGACTAAATCATGCATATTTATTAGGCTTAAATGGTTGTACTGAGTATCATGCAGAAGTCTATGTACTTACAGCATTCCGATCTGCAGGGATCGATTAACTGCCGAATAAAGTTTAGTTGGAAATTGTTGACATTGGAAATGACTGATACAAGTTTATATCTTTCTTTTGGGTTGAATGATTCGTGTTTCCGACAGACATATAACTTAGTACTGCATGTATCTAGTAATACAAATGTAGTGATTTCTTCAAGTTATGTAGTTAGCCCTGTCTATGAAGTGTTACAGAAACATAGGTGAAATATTGAGATTATCCTGGACTGTTCAGAGGTGTATCCTTATTATCATATATTATTATTATTGTATCCTTTAGTTCCTAGAGGAACATAGGGCTTCAGCTGCGCACCTCCATTGCCTTCGGTTTTCTGACAACTTTTTCATCCTGCTCCAGGTCTGTCCACATGCTTTCATCTCCTCCTCGCATGACCTCCTCCAAGTCACCCCACCGTGGAACGACCAACTCGCCGCCTCCCTTTCGGGTTCCACTCGAGGGCTTGTCTAGTGATGTCACTTGATGGTTTCCTCAGCGTATGGCCAATCCATCTACATTTCTTTCTGCCTATTTGTTTCACAATCGGTTCCTGATTGGTTCGCTCATTACCAGAGATCCCTGTTGCTGATCTTTTCTGGCTGGCCATCTGATCTTGAGTATTGAGCGGAGACAGCTGTAAATGAAGGTTTGAAGTTTGTTTGAGATGCTCTTTATGACTCGCCAAGTCTCTGATCCGTATAGTAGCACTGACTTCACATTGGAGTTGAAAATCCGGATCTTATTTTTGATGCTGATTGCTGTTGACCTCCACACAGATTTGAGAGTAATGAAAGCTTGTCTTGCTTTTCCGATTCTGGCTTTGATGTCCTCGTCAGTTCCGCCTGTAGTTGAGACGATGCTTCCCAGGTAGGTGAAGGAGGTTGTTTCTTACAGGTTCTTCCCACTTATGCTGATTGTTGTCTGTTGTTGTTGCTGTTGTTGATGTTGGCTAGGAATCTTCATCATCTCTGTTTTATCTATGTTCACGTGAAGTCCTATCTTTGATGCTTCTTCTGCCAACTTGTTACTTTTCACTTGCATATCTTCCAGTTTATGGGAAATAAGACATATATCATCGGCGAAATCCAGATCCTCCAAGTCTTTTGTGTCAGTCCATTTTATGCCTGTTCCCTGTATCCTTATACAGGATTTAATTACATTAAAATGTTCAATATTCAGTATGATTTGTATTTAATTAATTTGTTTATTTAATGAACTTACTTTATCACCGATATCATTTGAAATACAATAGCCATTTAAACAAATAAGTGAATCACATTTTGTTAATTTTTGCATACAGTTTGGATAAGGTAAATTTATATCTGGTATCCAAACACTTTCGTTACATTGACATTGATAGGTTACTTGACCATATGTATCAGTTATTGAAATACATTTGTTTCCTGGATTATTAATATTACACGCTCTGTTGCCAGCAATCAGTGTACCACCATTCGGTTGTAAATGATGTTCAATATGGAATAAACAAGCATCTATTTTATCTTGACAATGGTAACCATGATGATCAAGTTTACATACACACTGTGTATACTAATAAAATTAATTTAAAAAGTAAAATTGACAAATGAATTGACTAATATGATTCTGTCATTAAGAATATTAGGATTATAATTGCAGTGTAATGTTCTTAGAGTTCTGTGTGAACATTTATTTAAAGGCGCCTAATTCAATAAATCTACTCAGTATGGACTGTCAAGTCATATAGCTCCCTATGCTAAAAGCTAGTTGTAGGGATAGTTTATAAACGTGGAACAGTAAAGAATAGACACCAAAGCCAGGTGACCTTGAAACAACCAATCAGATTCTTTTAGGTTTTAAGTGGATTTAATATATAAAAATGTGTATTTATAAGATATATATGTAATAGGAATGAATTATATAGGGCATATATCTCTAAAATTCTGCAAAAATCAGTCGCAGTTTCTCATAGGAGTGTCTGTGGGCATACCAAACCAAAGTCGATACAAAAATTCATATAAATGGCTGTATATCATATCATTTCCCGAACCATTTACCATTATAATACGTATTTTAGATGGGTCCAGAATCCTTCAGTAGAATATATACGGGTTCCATTTATAAGATCCACTAATTCAGAGGAATGTTAGACTTTTTGATGAATATAGCCAGTGATGATATTTGCGAATATCCTCTCTACTCATCTGTGTGAACGGTAATGACTGGGATGACTATTCGTTGTATTATTGCTATTAAAACATAGCCACGTGTTTGGGATGCGCTCCAAAAACCCTTTTCGAAGATTTGTGTCATACAGTACCAGCACCAAAACATGTTTTGCTCTTCTCCTAACGCGATTCGTTTTTTGTTTTTAATAAGTGCTATTTCGTCAGTGTGAATAACAACACCGATTCCTCCAAGTGCAGAAGTAATTCCATTGATTTTTGTCACGCAATACCCCGGGAGTGCATATCACATGTTGATTTGGCCTTTATTACTTATTAAATTAATTCACTAATATTACTATTATTATTATCATCACAAACATTACTATCGTTATTTATTTTGACATTTCTCTACATACTTTCTGACTAATTTATCAGGGTAATTGTTATGTTGGAAGGCTTCTCTTATATGTGTCACTTCCTGTCTTAGATTTTCCTTGGTAATGATTAGTTTTTGTGCTCTATTACCTAAACATTTTGCCAATCCTATTTTCACTGACATAGAATGGGATGATCGGAAGTCCAAATATCTGTTTGAATGTGTGGCTTTCTCGTAAACACTAGAGTTTAACTTCTCATCTTCTTTCCTTTTTACGTTGCAATCTAACATTGGAAGCTCTCCTTCCTGACTTTCCAATTCATAAGTGAATTGAATTGCCTCTACCTTCGAGTTGATGTGTTCGAAAAATCTGTCTATATCTTGTGTTCTAAGCACAGTGAATGTGTCATCTACATAACTTCACCATACTTTTGGGGTGAGTGTGAACGTTTCAATCGCTATGTTTTCCCACCTATGCATGAATATATCTGCTACAATCGGGGATATTGGTGATGCCATGGCAACTCCCTCAGTTTGTTTGTATATTTTCCCATGGAATTTAAATACTGTGGAATTCGTGCATAGCTGCACTACCAGCATTATGTCCTCAAGTGGCACTTTCGTCTTAAGTTCGAATTCTCGGTCAGAAATGAGTTCGTGATCACAGATTCTCAGTAGTGATTAATTCAACCTAAGCTGAAATGAGACATCTTTTTAACTCCTTTTTAGCTTTCAATCATAGCATATTTAGTATCAGTTTATGATTAGAATTAAATTAAAGCATCTAGTAACTGTTATATCAAACGAAAAACTTAAGTAAATGGAACGAAAACTGTCAAATGTGTATCTGACTAACTTGATGATTTGGATCTTGTGTACAAAATAATGTCCCATTATTATAACACTTATTATCACTTTCACAATTTTTTGGAATACGCTTTCTTAAGTTTTCTTCCCTTGTAATGAAATCAGGCTGGTTATAAATGAATGCAAATGAAATATTAATTTTAGCAATATTTGTATACCAAACATTATCAATTAAAATAAAGAAACGTGTCTATAATCGTCATTTTGTGTAATAAAATGGTATTTTAAAGTATTATCTATTTAAATACAATGGAATCTTTTTTAGAGGAAGTTAGTCATCATCACGAATACCCCAGTGGTAACGTCTGTGACTGTTCTATATGGGTCAGGAACTTTGCACTGGCACAAGGGAAAGCATTTCCAACAGGTTCCAGACTTTTTATGAACAAAGCGTGAAACCTATGAATTACTATGTTGTTAGCTAAATAATCGGTTCTATATTATCTCCTATTTGTAATCTATGGTGACACTGCATCATTTAACTGACAATCTTACCTACTAACCTTATTATTATTTACAATTCTTTAAATATATATATATATATATGACTTCACTGTCACTACAAATACCAAGTAAGAACTGTCATTAACGATTCTGTAACATTATATTTATAATTGTTTTTAATATTATTCCATAAAATTAAATGCAATAATGTATCAAATGCTGGAAATTCCACACTGTAACATTGGTATTATTCTGGAATAAACCAAGTTATTATTATTGTATCCTCAAATGACTCGACAAATAAGATGTCGTGACCAGTAGGGTGCAGCAGGTTGGGTGCGAAGACAAATACTCGCCGAAGGCATTGGCTAGTGGTCGCGGAATGTAGTGAATTGGCAGAAGTTAGAATTCACGGGCTAGTCATTGCATAGGGTCCCAGTGGCTTAATGGTATACGAACTCGCTAGCCTTGTTACCGGAAGGTCCTGGGTTCGAACCTCAGTTGTGGGTTCGTACTGCTGAAGAGTCCCAAACTAGGACGAAAAGCTGTTCAGTACTCCCAGGTTTTCCAATGGTTCTCTAACTAATGTCAGCTCATGATGAAATCCTGTAACCAATCAAATCCCCACAAACCAACACTTAAATTAGTTTCAGTTATCCACATTCCCCTCCCTCCACTTGGTTATATTAGGTTTGAAGACTGTCATGGTTGTATGTAACTGCATGTACTGCTATAGCTGAGCTGTTTTTCACATTTTGCTAGTCTTTGCGTTATGCTAATGTAATTTATTCCGTTCTACTGCAACAGCAGAAGTCTTGACACTTCACTGATCAAACCGCTGTTTTATATATATATATATATATATATATATATATATATATATATATATATATAATATTTAGACACTGTGGTAGTATGTAGTTCCATATTAATTTGTTTATTAAACATATTACGCAGTTAAACAGTATCAGTTACAGCATAGTTACATCTGATTTGATTGTGACTAATAAAGTGTGTTCTAAACATCATCAAGCAAATATTACTATCTCACTCTGTGATATATCCAATAAACGGTTTAATCCCCTTTTAATATTATTTTTGATAAAGTTATTGCATTAAATAGCGAAACATCAGCAAGAAACAATATCTTTCTTTTTCGTTAATTAAGAAATACAAAACCTCTTGTAATATTGAAGTTCTCAGTTTTCTTTGTCAATGATTTGTCAGTTCTTTCAAAATCAAATAGTATCATTAGTAATTATGTTTCCCTGCAAAACGTGTTTAAGTGAGCTAGGACATAACCTAACGCAAATCAAACTTGTCGCACTTTCATTTCAGTATACTTCTATATGTAGAACAGACACTGTCAATTACGAATTACATACATTTATTCCCATTAATGAATTTGAATAAAGCAACAAACAACAGTTTTTGAAGAATAAAATGGTACCATCATTTATTTCGTTGGCTTCTCATCAGCTGCTTACAGGCCGAAGTCATTATTAAGCATATCCACAGAAAAAATTTTAACATACTTGCACAGAGTTCATTTTTAAACAAAAATCAATCAGTCAATGCATGCATACAATAATATATATAATAATAAACACTTTATTCCAAACAATAATGATCATACACAATGGAAATTTCCGACATTACGTAATCAGATGAAAGAGAGGTGAAAATATACAGTTACCAGGCAGGGTAAAGAGAGACTGATAACTGTTTCTTTCTGAATGCACAAATGAGGTTTCAGACGCTTGATGGAGTTCGCGTCGGCAAACTTGAGGAGAATTGAACCGTTTTGCCTAATGATAATTTTGAACGATCTTGTGACGTTCTGAACATGTACCAAAAAGCTTATGTCTAAAGGGAACAAATGCTTTAAAACTGAGCCATCGCCAGAAGCTTCTTCACACAGGTCATGAGGTGGACGTCGCAAGATTGTTCAAAATTATCATTAGGCAAAACGGTTCAATTCTCCTCAAGTTTGCCGACGCGAACTCCATCAAGCGTCTGAAACCTCATTTGTGCATTCAGAAAGAAACAGTTATCAGTCTCTCTTTACCCTGCCTGGTAACTGTATATTTTCACCTCTCTTTCATCTGATTACGTAATGTCGGAAATTTCCATTGTGTATGCTCATTATTGTTCGGAATAGTGTTTAATATTATATATATATATATATATATATATATTTACTGTATGGATACATTGATTGATTTTTGTTTAAAAATGAACTCTGTGCAAGTATGTTAAAATTGTTTCTGTAGATATATTTAATAATGACTTTGGCCTGTAAGCAGCTGGTGAGAAGCCAACGAAATAAATGATGGTACCATTTTATTCTTCAAAAACTGTTGTTTGTTGCTTTATTCAAATTACGAATTAGATTTTCTCAGGCCTTAAGGAGTGCTGTAATCATATCAGTTATTGGTTTTGGCTGTTTTAAAGGTGTTTTATCAACTTTTTTAAGCAGCTAGAATATCTGTTGTGGCATTGGCAATACCATGAGTGAAAACACCTCACAATAGACTTTATCCTCGCTTGTATAAATGCATTCACATGTTGTATATAAGAAATCAAATGCTAAACTTACATATTCTTTTGACTGTCTAATTTCATATAAATCATTTGTTAGACATTCTATACTTTCTGTATCCCATTTATTTAATCCACTACATGGACATTCATATTCATGTGAAAATATTCCATGATCTTTACAATCATAAAATGAACAATCTTTTTGTACAATACATGGATATGGACATAGAATATAATAATCAGTTGTCGGTTGTAAATTCTCTTTATAGCGACTATAACATGCTGTAAGGCATAAGGCATCTAAATATTTTAAATAAACATCATTATCTGTTACCATGACAGTTTTTTGTTTTTCATATGTTTGAATAATTTTTCTATCTTCAATATATTCAATTGGTATTAAATATTCAATAAATTGTTGTCTAATATGATTCCAACAGTCATCAAATATTATAATTGTTTTATTAAAACAATTATTAAAATGTATACTTTTTAAATTTTCAAGTATTTTAGTATTTAATAAATTTTCAACACTATACCATTTCTGTTTACCGAATAATGGTAAAGTAGTATTGAACATGTTATATGTAAAACCATTTTGAAGCATTGAATCTTTACAAAATATATTTAATGGATTTAAATGTTCTGTAGTCCGATTTATAACATAAACAAATCTTAATGTGATTAAATATAATACGAATAAGTAATTCATCCTTTAGGTATAAAAAATGTTCACAGTTGAAAATATGAATTCAGTATATATTTCAATGTTATGCGAATTTGAAATAAGCAATCGATCAATCATTGGATAGTAATTTATATGATTTAAATTTGAGGTTGGCTGTTGTGCGATCAGTAGTGTGACTCAGACAATCTATCTCATACTAGTTAGTATATAGTTATAGTCGGAAAGAAGATAGATGCTAAGTTAGTCTTCTTTTTCCGAATTACATTACGAGGTGAACTTAAAAAAGGTAAGTAATGAATTCTATTTCAAAAGTGTGAAATAAATATTTGTTGACTAAATCACTGTCATATACTTGGCAGAAAATCTCGGTGGAAATGAGTACTTTTTGATTTTTTGAGTTATTTTGCTGTTTGATCATATCGATTATCATAAATATAATAATTTGTAACAACAAAATACAAGACACGGGATATATATTTTTTTCCTTCACGTTCCAGTGGAACATAGGGCTCCAAGCTAGAGGCTTGAAGTTTCTGTAGCAGTGTTTATTTTTACAGGATGGGGTTGCTAGCCTCATGCCTAACCTTCTCTCTTTACCAGCATTATTTCTGGCTTAGCGAGGTAAAGGAATGCGTCGGTCGGAGATCGAATACCGGACCATGTGCATGGTCGGGGAGCGTCCTAACCGCTATGCCACCGACGCGCAGTAGTTGTATATCAATCATATAAACCAGTAGTGCTTACTAGCCAGCCACATCGAAGTGATCTAAACACCGGACGGCTATCTCACTCGTTTGGTGCCGTTCTCATCAGCGCTGTGCCGAGTTTGATTCAGGTCACAGAGCCGACTCACTTCAAACCACTTGATTTCGGGTTAGCCGCTTGGATGAACTAGTAATTCTTAATTTGCACCACTATACTTATTTTCCCTATAGGTCACGATTCACTTCTAAATAAGTTGTGTCACGTAGTTATCCACTTGTAGTGTACTGAGACCTTTTTGCTGACAGAAATCTCCTCAGATATAGAATTACTATTATAAGCTAAAGTACGTACGTATAGCCGTTCTGCTTTTGTGAAAAGTTTGACTGACAGAACACCAGCCGTCAGTACAATATTAGAATAAACATAGCATGATAGTAGTAAAGCCAGTCCAATAAGTTACAGGCAATGCTATATAACTGCAGGATTTGAAACGTCAGAGATCTGTGCAGAGAATTCAGATAAAATGAATAACCCAAAGACTTAACCGAATTTATGTGAATGAATTGAAAGTATCATCGATCTGTTCGTCTACCCATTTCAATTAGTATTTACACTGATGAGTTTTCCATTTGTCTGCCTATTCACTTGTCTAGGAAAGTTTGCTTTCTATCAACTAATTGGTGTATGAACTAAAGCCGAAAATTTAATCTTAACAACGCAATATATTCAAAAACAAAAGTGTAATGAAGCATGAAAATCAATCCTTGAATCATGGTTATAATATATCTGTCAAGAGAGACATACTATGAAGTAATTCAACAAAACAAGATATGGGAGCGAAGGTATATTTTAACAGTAATCAAACCGCTGTTTATATATCTACAGTTTATATTCGTTAACCAATCACTGAGCGTGTGATTTCGGTTTTGTTATAATTTGAGTGAACTGAAATAACGCCGTCGCCTATTTGTTATAACTGCACTTAGCTGAATGAGGACCATAGTCACTTTGTTCTGTCTGCACCTGCTTAATATGCCTATCTGCCTGTGGTACCTTCCGATTGACTAAACCACGTAAATATCGAAAGACCAAAGGTTGGCTTGTGACTTTATAATGTAATCACAACAGCAACAATTAAGAAAAGAAAACACATGCTATTTATACACTATCTTTACAACAATAAAGTCGACCTCTTAAGTGTGAGAAATGATTGATCACATAATTAATCACAACATGCGTGAGAAATAATGATATTCTACTTTATCCTATCTGGTTTACATCAAACAATATGAAATAGAATGTTCAAATATACACAGTATTTTGTTGTTAATGCAGTACATAACCATGGGAAAAGTATTCTGCCTCTAACATCAAATAGAATGTTCAAATAGATATATCGTATATTATGTTGCTAATGCGGTTTTGAACTGTGGTAATATGTAAGAATAATATTTCGTTAGCACACAATGCCTGTTTGACATCACCACACTTTGACGTTGGGATACTTTGTGACCATATTTTAAGCCAGTCAAGTTCCGTAAAGCATTTTATTTAGTACACAAATGATAACAATGTATACAAGAAAATAGTGTTACGGTATGAATTATTTGATTTACTCAGAACTTCAGTCAGTTGATTAAATGCCCTATGTAAAACCAGATAATAATAGTCCACACTGTCAGTCTTAGGTTTAGGAACAAATATCTCATTTTTAGTATAGTTACTAGGATAAATATAGAATTCGAAAAACTTTCGTCTCACATATCATTAAAGTTATTGTGGCTTTAAAAGTCAATGTACGTATGATCTTAGTGACTAGGCTCAAAGTTTTTCAACAAAAAACTTTGCAATTCCATATTAATTTGTTTATGAGATGTATCACACAGTGAGTGAATTAGTATTATTTACTGGATGACGTTTCGAACAAAATTCAATCTTCATGATCATATCAATTGTAATCACACCACTTCGAAACTTGAGTTTTATAGTTTTCTTTGTTTTCTCCTATTTGTCGTCGTTGGGGTAGTAGAATTTTCCAGATATCCGACTGGACAGGTAATGAATCATTCCTATGACACGTATTCTCTCTCAGTTGATTCGATAAACAAAGCTTCTGTTATCAATCTCTCCCTACACCCTGTGACGGTAGATTTTAAAACTGTCATCCTATCCCATTCTATTGTATGATTGTGTATAATTGCATGTAGTGAGTGGTATAGCTGAACTGTTCTCCGGATTTCTTATCTTATTCGGGTCAACTAATCTAGATTTTGCTAGGTTTTTATGCTCCACTAGTCTAACTGACCCCGTTCTACTACTGTTCCCTATGTATTTGACCTGACAGTCATTCCATTAGGGTATTAGACAAACCAAATTGCTTTGTTTTAAAGGGTCTACAGGATCCTTTAACCGATGAAGCTTGTTTCTAATTGAGTTTTTGGGTTTGAATACCAGTCACTTTTATTCCTGCCTTGTTAAGAATTCTGCGTAAGGTGGTTTCCGAGGTTCCTTCCTTGTGTGAAATTACTACTGATGATTTAAATTCCTTATTGTTGGTGTTGCCATTATTCCGTGTATGTTTGACAAGTATTTCATTTTTTATTTATTTATTTATCGAATCAACTGCAAATACTTGTAATAGGAATGATTCAACACCTGTCCACCCAGATATCTGGAAAATTCTACTACCCCTACGACGGCGAATAGGAGAAGACAAAGAAAACTATAAAACTCAAGTTTCGAAGTCGTGTGACGATAATTGATGAAATGTTTATGAACAATAATAAATTTTATTCGAAACGTCATCCAGTAAATAAAACTGTTTCTCTGACTGTGTGATATATCTAAAAAACAAACTAATATGAACTTACTTACTGCCACAGTGCCCAAGTTTTACACATATATAAAACTTTGCACACAAGTGCAACAGTTCAAGTCATCAAACTCCATATATCACTCATAGGTACAGAAAAGAAACTCATAGGAACTGCAGTGAACGGAGGTTTTGCAGTAGAAAGAATAATTATATGGAGAATAATGAGAAATTAATGGATCCGTGAGCCTACAAAAAGTAAATGCATATATGCCACTAATAACGATTTGAAGGTATATCACTTACAGTATTAAGCTATTGATTCTTAGCGTCTTGATTACCTCACTCAAGCAGTGTACACCTCCCCACATGGTTCAATCCCACAGTGAAAGACCTCATAGCTATGGCAGACTTTGATTTGACCACTCCCTATTCTTTTTCAACTCAATCGTATGTCAGTTAACATTGTTTGTTGAGGAAGGCGATGGCTAGGTTTGAGTAACGTATGTCATCACTATATCGATCGACAAAGCATCATAACCTCTTCGAATAAATTGGTCTTGTTGCCTAACACTGTAACCTTGACCTCAATAGTACCCAGCATATATTATACTACTTAACACTACAACTCTTCATAATGCATTATATATGTAGTTAAAGTAAATTTCTGAACAACTTCATTTATTATTATTTCATTATTCTTTTTCTATAAAACTCCAAATTAATCCATTGTAGTGTAATGACATACCTAATCTCGTCAATATTTTGTGATATTACGAATTGTGGCAACTTGAACAGATTCATTCCTGTGCATTGTTCTACATTGGTCTGTTTGTGTACGTGAAAAATTAAGTTTCCCTATAAAAGCATTTATATTGGCATTGTTTATTATTAGTCTGTTGCATAATTTTTATCCACTCCATAGTGTCTAGAACCTCTTTAAATATAACCATTTTTAGGATGTCTTCTCTATATGAGTTTTCCACGAATTCCCTCCCTAAACGTATCTTTTATTTAAATATAATCTTTGAATCCATCAAATCAAAACTTGCATTTAGTGGTGGAGACAAATTAAACTGAGAAAATATTTTGTCACATGGATTTAGTGGTTTTGTTTTCTAGCAGATTAGCT